ACGCCGGATATAAAGTACGATTTAAAAACGATCAACTAATTGTTCGACTTTGAAGCTGCGAAATTCTTCCGATACCTTAACGCAGAGATGCTTCGCGAAAACGTCGTAATCGATCGTTGCATTTTTCCTATCACGAAATACTCTGGATCTGAAGGCTATCGGAAACTTGGCAAACCGACAGAACGAGCTGATGAACGAGTCATGAACGAAACACTATTCTCAGAACGCGAAACTCAGCTACAACTAGTTGGTATTGTGGCGCTTGTGTCGGGAATATTGTGAATTTCATAGGTGTTTAAACGCAATTACTTTCTTGGAGCGATTTCAATGAAATTTCAATTAACTTGATTACGTAATATTTGTATTTTATTAATTTTTTGGAGATTAATTTTTTGTCCAAGAAATGAAAAGAAAAATTAAATTATAAGAATAACGATTTGTATGTGTAATTAGAAACTTTACTGTGTGAGAAATTCTGTGAAATTAATTTAATTGGAGGATTTAATTAATTTAATTGATTATTACCCCTGTTTCTATCAATGTAGATTAACTTTAATTTCAATTCGATTCCCTCCTCATTTTTTTCTAATTTTAGAATTAGAAAAAGATGAAGAGTTAATTGAACCGAAATAAATTAAACATACATTAGTAAAAACGAGCATAATTAAAGCCACCGGATTCGACCTGTAGTACTCATTGACTTGATCCAACATTAATTGTTTCTTGAGCTCGGACGTTTTCAGCTCATTAACGGCAGCCTGCTTCTGCAGCTCCGCGCGCTCCAGTTCGATGTGCAGCATCCGCAGCTTGATCTCGTGCTCGCGTTGGGTAGACTTGAAGATCCATGTCGCTCTTTGTACCGATTTATCTTTGTCGCAGGTAGCTGCTGGACCATTGTTCCACTCGAGCTCATTGTTCATCGTTGTGTCGTTGTGTTCCACCGCTCGAGAGAAAATAAAACATTTCGCTAAGATCTCGTCGTTGGAGTAAGATTCGGAGTGAACACGATGGCTGCGTTCAGCGAATTCACTGCTATTGGTGTATTCTTTTAGATCTAAACGTCTGATTGGATCTCACTGCGGTGGATGCGGTCATGAAATCATGACCCTCTCTCTGGAGTCTTCTTTTTTTCAAAGTATTTGTAGCAAAATGTTATATATATTTTCGATATTTCTGAAATGTTTAATCACAATTTTAATATTCGTAAAATATTTTTTAATTTAACTCCTAGATATAAAAAATATAGATTCTCTGTTATATTATTCTCCCTTTGTATTAATATATTTTGAAATAAAATGTTTGAATTATATATATTTGTATGAATTATATATTTAATATATGAATGTAATGTGTGAATTATATGTTTAAATAATACTTTTTCAATGTAATAATTTAATATTCTATCTTTTTCACCTTATTTTTGACCTTAAAAAAAATTTTTGTAGCGAACCAATGGTTCCTCCTTGACAAACTTTTGGATCCCCGCTCCAATGAATGATCTAGAAGAATACATCAATAACACCGAGCGCTCACGCACGCAAACTATCGCGAGTCTGAATGCATTGAAACGTCAAGTACCATTCTCGACGCGGGACGTCGACACACTGTCAGGGCAAGTGATTCTGCGCTCAAGATCGACGGGCTCGTCCTGGATCTTGATCCTGGGACGCTTCTGCTGCAAGAAATAGTCCTCCGACACTTGTCGCGACAGTTCGCCGTGATTACTCTCGTCCTCGGTATCGCTATTGACCTCAATCTTAATCTCCTGTTCCGGTTCTAAACAAATATTTCTATAATTTTGCGCAAAAGAATTTTTCCAAATTAGCAACCGGAAACTCGGGGGGAAAAAAAAAGAAAAAAGAAATCGCGATGGTCAATATATTTCAACCTGGCGTTTCCGTGGGTAATGTCAATTTATCCAGGATCGCCTGTATCGCCATTCGATTCAGTGGATTCTCATTGTCCTGACTATCGTCCGAACGATCGGTGTTCTCGGAATCATTCTTGCGCACGCTTTCCATCAGCCGCCACACTTCGATCGAGAGATTCGGCGGACGAGATTTGGCGGCCACATCCGGTCCCAGGGTTCGTACCTGCGCGTGACCAAAGGCGGAGAAAAAATAAGAAAAAGAAGAGAGTTTAGAATGGTGACCAACCGTTCCAAATTAGGAAGACCAGTCCCGAATTTTAACTCTTTGTCTCATTTTCAAACATTCGAAATTTTGTCCCCCCCCCCCCCCTGAAATTAACGATTATAAATTGTCCCTCTTTTAAATGTGAAAATAATAAGCGTAAAGTATAATTTTCAATTGACGTATAAAAAATTTTGATTTTTTATTTAAAAACTCAGGTACCTCATTTATAAAGTACATTCAGAGAGGAGGAAAGTACAATTTAAAAAAATAAAAAGTGATTTCGTAACTTGAATAATGTAATTTTTGTTGTAATATAACATATTAAGTGTTATTAATGATTTACAAATATAATTATTGTTCATATGCTTCATTAACAATTATAAAGAAATGTTTAGGAGAGAGAGAGAGAGAGAGAAAGTGCCTCCTCTCGAATAATAATTTATGCAATCTAAAGAGTGACGCAGTCACACCTTTTCGGCGTACGAGAACATCTCCATCCTCGCCTGCGCCTTCATCCTCCGCCACTGTTCTTTGATCCTGGTGATGTCCCGATCTGCCGAGAATTGGCCGCGGAACGCGCAGTAAATCTTTTGCCAGGCGACAGATTTCTTCGCGGACGCGGCCGCGTCGATCTTCTTGTTCTCGATCGCGCTCACATGGTGCTTGATCAGGGAGAACAGGGCGCTCTTCTCCTCGGGGATCCAATTCTGCGTCCTCTCCCTTTTCTTCAGCAGCACGGTCGTCGTTTCGCTCGTCCCCGACATTCTCTTGCCTTTTTCGCGCGTTAATTTAGCAGTTAGCTAATCTACGGAACTAGTTCAACCCACGTGCATACAAAACATCTGTTGTCGCGCATTGATCCGTCACTGTTTCACGGCCCCCGTTTGCTTGTTTAAGCGCGGTTTTAGAACTGTCAGCTGTTTAGTTGCTATCGGAGCGGCGCGTCTACCGAGTGTCACGAAAGTCACCGCGATTACATCTAGTCGGAGTTACTGTCAAGTATTCGTAATTATCCGTCCGCTTGATTCGTATTTATCCGTCAGATAATAGCTCTCGTTGTTTTAGTTCCGCGTGCGAAGAGCCGTGAGTCGGGTCGAGCGGTTTTTACACGCAGATTGTCACGATGCTTGTAACATTCCCGTCTCGTTTTACAATTTTATAATCGGACAGAATTTATGAAACCTTTTCGCATTTTACACGCGAAATATTTCGGTATCGGATTAGATTCGCGGCATAAGACAACGCAATGCGAGTAATGTCGGATTAACTCAGCGGAACGAACGCCCGAGGGAGAGAGAGAGAGAGAGAGAGAGAGAGAGAGATGAGCGCAGCCGACTTAAACCCGACTAAGGGACGACTAAACGTCGGCCATCTTGGCACGGTACTAGCTAGAACGCGCTCGATACTAACAAATCCTCCGTTCGCGAGGTGGGGATGGGAGAGGAAGCCCTCCAACTGAATGAGACGAGGAGGACGGGAAGGAGAGTGAGAGAGGAAGAGTGAGGGAGAGAGAGAGAGAGAGAAAGAGAGGGGTATCTCCGACGTTCCGCGCAACGCAAACATTGTTTCGTTTCGTTTCGTTTCGCGACCTGTCGTGGAATCATATTGCGCCGATTCCAATATTTCCATCGTTTTCCTGTGAACGCGATGATTCCCCACCCTTTATCGCGCGCTTACTCGCTCCCTTTCCCCTCCAATTATCTATGCTCCGAGATAATCGGTCGTAGAGGATTATATTATCTCCAGCTCCCAAATTCGATTGTATTCCCAAACCAAATTCTCAGCGAGATAATGCTTAAATACACTGAGAGAAAAATGTAGTAAATTTTAACAACATTTATTTACGGAAAATAAATATCTGCTAAATAAAGATAATAATAGTTAAATCAAATTAATGGTTCTAGTACCAAATAAATATATGTTTACATTCAATATTCAACTGGTATTTTTCAAACAAATATTTGTTTAAATTTAGCATATTTTTCTCTCAATGCACAATATATGAAATTTAAATAAAATAAGATATCATAAATTATAATAATTGAAATAAGAGTAAATAAAATTTTTCCATGCTTGAACTTGTGTGTCTACACATTCGATGTTCTCACGTTTTAACAGCACGGTTCATATGATCGTAGCGTAGGAAGAACGTAGCGTTTCGTCATTTCTACCTTCTCGTAAATCTATCAAGAAAACTAATAGATATGCACAAGCGTAATCACTGTTTACAATCTTCTTTATTTTTATTCTTTATTCCAGTTTTACGTTGTCGGTTTGCGTAACGCACGAGTAAACTAGTTTTGCGTGTAGAGATTAACTTGACTTAACATTTCTACGAGAAGAAGTTTTAATTCTCCTTGAGAAAAACAAGAAACTGACGATATTAATTTACAAATTTACGACGCGACGTACTTGTATTATAAGGATTTATTAGATAGTAGAACAAGGTCGGTACCGTTATCACTTTGTGTTTGCACTATATTTCAATAAATGCTAAAAATAAAACTTTGACACAATTAGAGAGTATCTTTTATCACAGATGATATAAGAGTTCTTATAATATATACTGTTTGGAAATCTTGCAGTATTATAAACTTTTTCGTAAATAAGCAAAACTAAGCGTCTCTATCGGCCACATTTTTCTAAAGAAATTCCTTTATTCTATCAATTATTAAATATTTATTGACATATCGAAAAGTATTTGCTTTTTCCAAATATACTTAATATATTTATAATTTTTATGATAATGAAAAATAATGAATGACAGTAATTGAATCTTCGCGTTATCGATCTATGTGATCTGAAGAAGTCAACGAGCTTCTATATTCTATAATAGCAACAGAAAACTACATCGTGTCTCGCTGACTAATAAACGATCGACCTTGACGTTCTTCTTCTCTTTGTACCGAGATACGCGGTGATGTTCATCAGAATCGTTAGAAGCAACAGTCCAATCATGTCCCACCAGAAATTTCCTTCATTATATCCGTATTCCGATAAAACCTCTGTTCCGTTTGACAAACAAGACAGATTACGATTGGTTGGACAATCTGAAGGAAGAGAAATTAGAATGTTACCACGAGAAAACTATTCTGATTAAACCGGAATAAAAGGTTTACAAGAAAAATGGTATTTGGATGAGACTAGACAGAATTTAATAATAATAATAATAATAATAATAATTGGATTTATTATGCGAAAAGATTAACAATTGAATTTACATGTACATATTTTCTGGTTATCATAAAATTCTGTTTAGTCTTATCAAAATCCCATTTCTGTTAGATTCTTTTGTTGCTTTAATCAGAACAATTTTTTCAATGTAATAAGACTGAGCAGTCTGGAGATATTGTTTCTCACCAATATCCTCTATCCCCGACCAGTGTACTATCGATATGGCTTCGGTGGCGTAATAAAATATGGAAGAATATTTGAAATACGCCAAGTAGCTTGGAAGAGTGCTGCGAGAGTCAACTTATTTTAATGTGCGCGATGGAATTCTATTTGTCATAATATTGACAATGGTTGTACTTACCGCAAATTGTAAAATGTACCCGCCATTAAAATGAACAACAAGTCAATCAGTAACATTATCGAGGTGATGATATCAATGTCTGCGATCCAGCTAGAGATTGCCATACCATACGCATTACCGCAGATAGCCGCTGTCGTCGTGCAGAGACAATAGAAGCAAAAGCTGAGCAACGAAAATTCGGAATGCAGCGCAAAGTACAAGGCAACCGTGAATAAAAGCGCCTTGAATATCGTCTTGGGTATCTGAAGAATCCCCACCGAAAAATTGTAATAATGTTACAAACGTGCTGCTTTTTCAGCGTATACGCGGTACGCCGCGGATAATTACCAAGGCGAGAACGGTGGCGAGGTAATAAGGTCCCGGCGCGTACACGGTGCTTTCGCGCACGTAGAGAACAAGCTCGCCAGGTAGTTCGTAAACGACGGAGTAAGCCATTGTAAAAATTACTTCAGAGATCGTCAAGTACAATGCGCCTCGAGCACTCTGCATCCCTTCTTGCGTCAACGAATTAGTGCCAGCGTAAAAAATATTTACCAAGACGATGGAAAGCTATGAAAAAGATCACACTTCTTTTTACATTATATTTGCCTTGTATTTTAAAACATTTCTTATTCCAATTACTCTGACCAAACTCAAATTAACTTATCAAGTATTATCAATGTAGACAGAATTATTGATCGTATGAGAAAAACATTAGATTAGAAATTAATTAAACGAATTACGTAGTTATAGAAATTTTACCGCAAGCAATTCTACCGGTTGAGTTAATCGCTAATTAAATTAATCGGAGTTTGGTCAAAGTCACTTCAAGTTTTCTAGCTTGTTACCACGCAAGATAACCACGCGATCCAATTGTCAAAAGCTGTTCTTCTATTCTGCAAGAATATTCTCCAGCACAACCAATAAAACTGTACGAACCATCCTGATTTTCTACAATATAGATTATTAAATTCACTTCGTGAATGTTATTTGCTAAAATTTATTTGAGAAATTTTGCTGCCATTTTGATTCAATACTTTTGACGACTAGCGTGGAAAACCGAGATGTTTTCGATCGCAGGAATCTTTGACAGTGGTGATCGTGAAAACGCTCGGCACAGCTCTATATCTGCTTGGCATGATAGAATGTTTACGTAATATTCGGACTCATCGTAGTTTGTAGGGCACCGATAATCCTGGCTATACATAAAATACGTATATCGCTGTTTTGTCGTTTGACGAATCTTAATACGAATGTCAGAATATCTGAGGAGTTTTACTTCTCAAAAAAGTCCGTGGCGTTCTTCAGAGTCCCGAAGTATACGGATCTACCATCGGCCATCAATATCACATGGCTGAATATATTGTATATCGTCATACCTGGTTGATGAATTGTGCAGAAGACCATAGTGCCTCTCGAGGCGATTAATTTCAATGACCGCACAACGTGCATTGCGGCAAAAGTGTCTAGACCTACGCTCGAATATTAATATAAATTTATTGATATAAAAATTTTTTTAATATAAATATTAATTAATTATAATATTTATATTAATATAAATAATTAAAATAATTAATGTTGATATAAATACTAATATAAATATAAATTTATTTATACAATATTTATTTATAATGATTACACTGATTAATTATCAATGTAACGATCGTGTGATTTTATTCACGACAGGCAGAATTCATATAATTCATAAAAATTATTACTGTAGATAGATCTACGAACGTGTTCGACATCGCGGTATAACTCGGAGATTAACGATCGATCAACGCGACGAGTACTCTTCTTCGCGTAAGATCATTTTGACAAATTCTTACCCCTGGTTGGCTCGTCTAAAAAAAATATCTTCGGTCTCGTCATCAATTCCGCGGCTAGCGACAAGCGCTTTCTTTCGCCGCCAGATAGTTCGGATATAGCGGTATCGATGCACTCGTACAATCCCAAATCCCGCAAAAGTTCCTCTGCTAAGAATTTTCTACGTAGCACATTACAACTATTTCCTATTTTCAAAGCGCACTAAAAGGAGTAACTTGAGACATGAAAAGTAATCCATCGCGTACGAAAATTTCTCTTACAAAAATTATTAATCAATAATTATCCGCATTAATTTATAGATTCTTATATGCATATATATGTATATATATTTTCTCGATACCATAAACGACATATGTTCTCTGGGTGTAAGCGCGGAGGGTAGAACATCAAATTGCGATATATAACTCGATATTGCTGCCATCGTTTCTCGAGAAACATCATGTCCGTCGATTTTTACTGCGCCCGAAGATAATTCAAGTCGTTTCGCCAAAGCAGCTAGGAACGTGGTTTTGCCAGCATTACTAGAGAAACAAGTTGTGTGTCCATGAATATAGCGTGAAATAATCACAAAGACGTATATATATACAAGGTATCCCATTTTAATGTCCCACCCAAAATAACTTTTTTATTTTTATAATTAATAAGAAAGTGGTTTTTTTTTATCATAAAATTTAACTTCGCAGTCATACGTTTAGTTAAAAATCACGCTCTCTTTCATCTTGCTCGTGAGATCTTAATGCATAGTTGATGAGACAATCGAAATGTTTCGATAAACAATATTTACACGCTATCATGATGATATTCCATCTGATATTCTTGTGACATGGCCTACGATGACGCACAAATTTCACCGAATTGCTGTAAAAATAGAATCTGGGAATTCTCGTTCTACACAATTCGAAACATTTCAATTGTCTCATCATACTATGTATTAAGATCTCACGAGCGAGATGAAAGAGAGCGTGTTTTTTAACTAAATCTATAACTGCGAATTTTATTTTTAAATTTATGTAACTAATGCGGGTTTATTTGTATATTTACTAAAAAATATTACCTCGATGGTCTAATGGCTTAGGACGCTCGTACGGAATACAAGAGATCCGGGTTCAAGTCCCGACCGAGGTAATATCTTTCGCAATAAATTTATTAACAGTTTTAACATATTAACATCTTTATAATATATGATGCTTGAGCATCCAATTATTAAATTGCTTGTCAATTTAATTCGCGATTGCTAGAGTATAGTTTTAATTGCGTTTATTTAATCTGGAAAAATAATTCGGCGCGCAGTTTGAAAAAGACTACAATATATATGCAAGTACATATATAGTATATATTAGTAATTCAAGATCGAATTATTTAAGCAACGAAGATCCAGCTTCGACCGTAATAGGCATTTTAAATTTCTAGTATTGATTGTGTTTCTCACATATACGGTCTAAAATAAAGATATTGTTTAGAGAAATTATATAAGATTAAAACATTAAAATAATTAGAGAAATTGTATAAGATTAAAACACACATTATTAATAACTTATTACAAATAAAATTAAATATTGGAAAGAACATAGAAAACTAATCAACGAAACCAAATCAAAGGTTACATTAAATAAATTATAAAAAATTACGTCTTCTTTACATGAAATTTTCTTATAAAGATGAAAAAAGTGGGTCAACTGAATAAAATTTTTTTTAATCTAGTTGATTATCCAGTTGACTCCACTTTTTTCATCTTTAAACGAAGAAAGTTTACTATCATGTAAAGAAGACGTAATTTTTTAATAATTTATTTAATGTAACCTTTGATCTGGTTTCGTTGATTAGTTTTCTATGTTCTTTCCAATATTTAATTTTATTTGTAATAAGTTATTAATAATGTGTGTTTTAATCTTATACAATTTCTCTAATTATTTAAATGGCTGAGGATGACTAAGTAAAGTCAAAACGTTCCATATATTAATGATTGCAAAAAAACTCTCACATCTTTTATGTTATATAGTTTATTGTCTTAATAAACTTTAATTTTATTTTTAAACCCGTGTTTGACCTATCTTCCTATCCATTAGAAAAAAATGTTTCAGCCAAAAGTTGTATGGCTTTGAGAGGGATATAAGATGATGTCATTAGTTTGACCTTGAATAGTTGCTTGAAGGTCATGTGAAAGTTACCTTCAATTTCTTAAATAGAACCCTCTACTTTTTATTGCACATTCTTGTAGATCATTTCGAGAGCTTTCCAAAACACTATAATTTAAGTTCATTTTCATTAAATACTTTGCGAGTTATACGGCTTGCAAGTTACAGCACCGCCGACATTAACATTACCCAAGGTATCCGACCGACGACTAAAACCTCTTAAATGTTGTTCAGGATCATGACCTGGATAACATTTGTCAAGATCAAGGTCATTGGAGATTGTTTCTCTTATTTTTATTTTTACGTAAAAATGAATTCTTAGCGCAAAAATGAAAATAAGAGAAACAATCTCCAATAACCTTGATCTTAACGAATGTTATTCAAGACATGATCTCGAACAACATTTAAGAGGTTTTAGTCGTCGGTCGGACACCTTGGGTAATCCTAATGCCCGGAGCTGTAAGCCTTATAACTCGAAAAGTACTGAATGAAAATTACCTTAATTATAATGTTTTAGAAAGCACTCGAAATGATCTACAAGAATATGCAATAAAGAATAAGGAGTTCCATTTAAGAAATTAAAGGTAACCTTCAAGCAACTATTCAAGTTCAAACTAATGACATCATCTTATGTTCCCCTCAAAGCCCCCATACAACTTTTATCTGAAACATTTTTTTCTCGATCAAAAATAAAAAAGTTATTTGGGGTGGGACATTAAAATGGGACACTCTGTATATGTATCGTATTTTGCCATACCTCGGTCCTAATATGGCAAACATGTTACCAGTCTCTGCATACCCGGATACTTTATACCAAAAGAAGCGTTACTAATAAATAGAGATACTATTTTTCAAACACAAAAGAAGCGTTATTAATAAATAAAGTTAATGCTACTTGTTATAAACGGATAAATCATAGATCATTGAACGATCGACGACTGATTAAATCTATAACAACTTCATTTTTCATTGTGTTTCAATATTGAAAAACAAAGAAAATTACCCCCTTTCAGTATATTCAATACTTTCACAGGTTTTCTACACAACAGCTTGCACCACAATTTTCTGGAGCACTCGTCATCTTTGGTAGGCACAGTAACGATTAAATTTTCCCAGAAAAGTTGAGAAAATTGAGAAGTTGTCTCAACCGAATCTGCTAGCTTCGCCATCTATATTATTCATGTCACGTCTTTAGAAACTTGTTGATGTCGCGAGTCTCTTGAAACTCGTCTCAAACGAGTCTCAGACAAATATCGCTATCTCCTTTCTCTATTCCTTAATATTTCTTATCGTTATCTAAAATCATATAGATGTTATAAATCAAGCAAGTAATTAGATTCTACTAATTTTGAATTGCTTTCCTATCATTCCTACGATTCTAGAAATCGTAGATGCTTTCATAGAATTCGATGTGATAAAAAGCGCGGTGCTAGATGCGGTAAATATTATGGAGGAGGAGAATATACGTCGATAATAAAATAATGATGCACACATGTATGAAGAAAAAAGGAGATTCGGTAATGTGTGTGTTCTAATATAAACAAATTTAATATAGTTAAATATTGTTTTGTAATTATATGTTTTGTATCTATATAAAAACAGTTAAAAGTAGGCAAGAATGTTGCTTATTACGGTTAGATAGCAATAGTATATTAAATGTATCATAATGCTTTGGAAATAATATGTAACGTATGTATATATGTATATATATATATATATATTTCTACAATTTTTTCTACAATAACGATACACGCCGCGTTACAAATCATATTATATAAAAGTGCAAATATGCGAACACATCGTCTGAAAGGTGAAGATCATTAATATAAAATCTGAGTTATTTACAATGTATACATGTATGTATGTGTGTATATATATATCCAGAAGATCTATATCCAGAACATTACATGTGTCTCTCCGCCTTTTTTTCGGCTCTATAGAAGCAATCTATATATTAAAGGTTATTTTTTATTTTTCACCTTGAATTTCAGTTCAAATATCGCAATGCTACTGATGAATATGTTTTAAATGCGTATTATGTAAAACGGTCTTTTTAATATTTTAATTACAATCAGCTGTCTTGTATATAACTAGCTGCGATTGTGCGAACAAAGGCACAACGTTGTCGATAATTGAATTTAATTAATAAAATAAAAGCGAAATGGAGGTATAGATAGGAAGCGCATTATTGTAAATCTAATGAGAAAACGACCAAATTTGTTTTGCTTTTTATCGAATTCGTAGTATGTATGTATATATATATGTGTATATATATATATACATATACGTGTTGAATTTAATTACTCGAGTAATAATAAATACTATTACGCTCTTTACGACACACGTACGTATAAAATTTTTAATTCTCTCTATTATGATGCTAGAAGCAGAATTGTATAAATAATAGTTATTGACATGAATTTTGACAGACAGAGAAAGCAATGTTACATATAAATTTCTAATCAAATTAATTTAACATTTAAATACAGATGTCAATCAATTAAAAAAGGATGTACATTGGTAATGTTGTCAAGGCTATTATGTTATTATTTCATGCATTTTTCCAAACTCTCCTTATACGAATATTAAAAATTTGTTTAGCTACTATCTTTAAATATAACTTTCTCATGTTGTATGTAAAAAATAATTTGGATTGATAAAATAATTTTCATACATTATACAAGATGGAGAATAAGCAGATGCTTCCTATTATAGAGAAGGGTAAGGCATTAAAAAAATTATGATTCCCATGGCATCTACGAAGACACATTGAGGTTGACGAATGGAAAATTGTGACCGAGAATTCGAACTTGTGAACGATTTGCCTATTCGTCAGCAACTGCAAGATTTTTTGGAACTTGTTGGCGATTGATTCAATGTGAATCTCTCGTTGTCCATCTGGTCTTGGACGCCATTGTCTCTTATAACCTGATCATTTTGAAGTATCTGAAATCAATATTTTACATATATTTATTAATAATAGTCATAATTATATATCAATACACGTATCATATCATAAGGTCCAAAACATTAAGTGAAGCAATAATAGCGATCGTTCAATATCCAGATGTTGATTGGTTTCATGTCGATTAATTATGCATCATAAGTCGATCATTTCTAGGGTGAAAGACGTCAACGATTAATCCGTCGTACGTCACGCATAAACAATAGACAAGCCATTGTATGATACATATTAATATCTGTCGTACTTTCGAGTTAGAATTATTTACGTATCGTATAAAGCATTTTTCAGATCTCTTAAAAATGCATTATACGATACGTAAATAATTCTAACTCAATTGCAATTTATTCCATGATAAATGCTCTGCTTTTATACACTTACTGTAATTTAATATGAAAGAAAAGTAATATGAAAAACTTACTTTGTTAACGAGAAATTTAGCTGCTTCTTCAATGTTAATGTTTTCCTTCGCCGAGGTTTCAAACCAGCCAGAGAAGTTCTTTTCTTTACAGTATTCGTCCATCTTAGTGGGCGAATTAACCAGACCTTCTTTCTGCTGATCGCATTTATTCGCCAATAGAACGCACGGTATCGGCGATCCGTCAGGAAGTTGCACTTTTGAATCTAAGTCTTGTTTCCATTTCACCACTGCATCCAGCGTTGCGCTTCTTGTCACATCGAATACTATGAATGCACCTACGGCTTCCTTGTAATAAACTCTGGTCATGTTCCCGAATCTTTCTTGACCTAAACAGACCATAAAAGATCAGAATTATAGAATTTATACAGGGTGTTCCGTGAGACTTTTACCAAGCGCTTTTTTATAGATAGATGGGACTAAACTGAGTCGAAAAGTCTTCTACCATTTTGCAATTTTCACAATGGTTAACGAAATATATTAATTACTAAAAATTGCCGAACATTGATCTTTAATAACTTTTTCACTCAAATTTTATCAACTTTACAGAAAAACAGCAAAAGATAAAAATTGTTTATTTTCTTCTCATAAAGAAGAATCTTTCTAAGAATTTTTCATCTTTCATCTTTCTAAGAATTTTTTCAGAATTTGTTATCAGTTTGTAACTTTTTAGAATATTGCATTTTCTTATTGGTAACTATTTTTAGCAACATGAGAAAATACGGTATTAAAAAATTCTGAAAAAATTCTCAGAACTTTATGAGAAGAAAATAAACAATTTTTGTCTTTTTTTCTGTAAAGTTGATAATATTTGAGTAAAAAAGTTATTAAAGACCAATATTCGACCAAATTCAATTTTTAGTAATTAATATCTCGTTAACCATTGCGAAAATTGCAAAAAGATAAAGGACTTTTCGACTCAGTTTAGTCCGCTCTATCTACAAAAAGCGTTTGGCAGAAGTCTCGCGGGACACCTTGTATAATATGCGTAATAATAACTTGGCTATTAATTAAACAATTTTAGAAGTATTTAAAATATCTAAGACATTGCTCAAGTGACGTTAGTAAATAAGAAAGGAGAAATACCAAGCATATTAGTTTATCTGTCGCACGAGTATTGTTCCATTATTAGCTTCCAAAGAGAAAAGTTAAACATTGTGTGTTACTATTGACCTGCGATATCCCATAATTGTAGTCTGATGATGGTGTGCGGATCCCAGTTGAGTACTTTGAGCGCGAAGTCGACGCCAATCGTCGCGCGATAATGTTGGGAGAAGAATTGATGTACGTATCGTTTAATGATAGATGTTTTCCCCGCCCCAAGCTCGCCGATTACTAATATTTTGTACAAATGCTCTCGTTTCTCGCTTACGCCGAGGTTTGATGCATTGTTCGACGACTGAAATAATAAAAGAATATATAATCAACATTTAAGTACAGGACATTTTCTCTAGGTTAAATAATAGTTTTTTCAAGATATTATCCAGTTGGGAAAACATTGCTTTCCATTTTCATAAGTAACGTATTAACTTGATAAATAATATAGCTAACGATTCTAAATATGTTTTTAATTCTAAGTAGGAAGAAAATGTACATGTAATCACAAATAATTTGATAATTATCATCACTTATATAGATACAGAGAGAGAGAGAGAGAGAGAGAATATAAATTAAATCATTTTTTAGAAACGCAAACACTTGCAACGGACCCCGAGCCACTTCCATTCTTTCGGTTGCACCTTCCACTTGCTGATATCGAATATTTCTAAATTTCGCCAAATTTTTAATTCCACGTCCATATTCATGCACGACCTTTTAAATGCCTGTACGCTTCTAAGAGACTGAAGTTAATTACGCCTCACGAATGATCTTGCTGCTGCAGCTCGCGTGAGCGAAATGAACTGAGAAACTTGTATGTGGGAGAATTATCCCCGAGTACAGTCGTGGGGGACTGCAGAACTATAAATACAATAATAAGCCTTTCGCGTCTTAATGAATGCATGAAGCAATCTAAATAATCGCCATTGAATTTAAAGAGTCATCAACAGTGGCAAATCATAAACCAAATTTCTATTTTGATTACATTGATGAATTTTCGAAACGAATGGATTATTTCTATTCGATTCTCCCGATTTCAATCAACTTGTTATTTATACACACATTTTTCCTCTTAAACGTAGACACGATAGAACTCGTAAAACCGCGTAATTCGAAACTCTGTAACAGACGAGGGCACAACAGATCCAAAGAGGCAGAAATACAAGCGGATCGGTATCAGAAAGGTACCGCAACGAACGCGTACCGCAGCGTGTGACTTGATTAGTCGTAGAACCTTTACTGCGTTCAATCTTCTCGCGTCCAATTTTGGAGTATCAAGTCGGTTCACGTCAACAACTTTACACGAATGTATATAAATATTGTCAATTATTCGGTACTTTCTTTAGGATTTTATAAAAGAGAAACTTAAAAATAATTTTTCAATTTTCAGTTGGCTCTTTCTCTTATCATTTCATATAGTTAAAGTTTCGCTGATTATGGCTGCAAACGCATTAATGTGGAATAAATAAGACTACTTATCGTGTTTCAAACACGACGAAGCTATATTACACAATCGTATAACATATATTTTGTCGTATTTCACAATTTAATATGAAGTTTTTGCAATAACGTGAGTCCAGATACGGTGAACGCTAGAGTCACGTTATTCTTTTCTTAATTAGTTGTTAAGAAGAAGATAATCTGACCGTAACATTCACCATATCTGAATAAACGGTATTGCAAAAACTCCCCAATATTGCTGCTCAATGTCGCAAAATGTCGAATGTGAACGGAAGACAACTCTATCACTCCGTAGAGATGTAAAAAAAAACGGTATTTTTTACTTCGGAGAAAAGTATCGAGTAAAAAGACTAGTTTTTTTTTACTGTAAATAACAAAATTTTTGACCAAATTGCATAAAATTCATGAAAAAACATATAGTTATTTCAATATAATTATTTTTGAACGACAGATATTTTATATTTAAAAACTATATAAATAAGTGATGTTATTAATACAGATAATATACTTTATAAGCATAATAGATACTATTTTGCTGCATATTTGTTATAATTGTACTCTATATTTTAATTATTTTGTATTCTATATTTTAATTATTTTGAAACAACCCAATATAATATTGATTACAGAGTAATTAGAGATTCAATGAATGTTGTCTCACTAATTTAAATTTAAAATATATATAATTACAATCACAGTGTACAGCAAAAACAGTGTCAATTAGTTTAGTAAAGTATTATTTGTATTAGTAACAGTATAGAACACTTACTTAACTTTTAAAATTGAAGTACGGTATAAAATATCATTTAAATAGTAGTGAAAGATAAGATATATTTATGGTCACCGGCATTATGCTTATATTAATCTCATTATACTATATTTTAACTTTTGTAATTATTTTTACACAGCAATCTTACGGAATGCGAAAACTAAATTCTGGAACAATAGTAATAGCGTCGAAATTATGAAATGCTAAAAAAAAATATCCGAGTAAAAAACTAAGTCAAAGCCGAACGAAAAAAATCATTATTTCCCGAGTTTTTTATCCTAAAATTCTAAAATTTTTTCGTCGTTTACATCTCTAATCGCTCCTACACGATGGATCTCACCTCAAGATCCATGGCTCCCAGCATGGGTGCCATGGTAGCGTAAAGTCTATGATAATTGCTGCTTGTATCGCTGTAATCCTCTGAAAAATCCTCCTCGTCGAGAATATTACCGAAAGTGGAGAACGTGTCAAAAGTCTTCACACTGATATGCCGCGCTTTTTTCTTTCTTTCTTCTTCCCGTTGTTGAAGAAACTCGTTGTTATTGGTGCTCGATAGATCGTCACGGGCGTCGATTACTGTCTCATTTGAGCACGTTATGTCTTTGGATCTCGAATCAAAGAAGCGTCGCTGAAATATCGCTCGTTTCTCTTCCAACAATGATAGCTTACGGCGAACGTCGACGGGCAACGATGTCGACGGTACATATTCCGAGGAATCTGAATCGTATTTCGTCTTCGCTTTGCCTTTCCTGGCCACTGGATCCTCCGCAAGCTTCGTTTTACTAGACTCCGACCATTTCGACAACGAATATGGGAGCGTCGAGATAACGCAATGCGAAGCGTTATCTTGATTAGCCTGTTGCGAATGTCGTGCAGTGTCTAAAGAAATTTGAAGATGCGTGACTTAACGAGAATACGTTTACGCTCGATTTTTTAAAATCTTAAATAGCTTTCAGCGATTACATCGTTGCTATATATATTGTTTTGCTATGATTACAAATAATCGTACAGTTCTAACAAATGCTTTATTGTGAGCAAATCGAGTATAAGATAAGATAAGCAACGAAAGTGACAAAAAAAAAAAAGAAAAAGAAGAAAATAAAATTTAGAGAGATGTACTGCGATTTTTATACCATAAATATAAAATCTAGATATATATGTATACATATTTATTAAAAATGTACACACATACCTCTAGATTTTACTTTTAAAAAATCACAAATGTAACTCCCTGAAGTTTATTTCTTAAATGAAAATGGCTAATTGTCAAGAAGCGTATATCGTGAAATCTTTCGGCTTTTGGTTTCGTGCAGAAACATTCTGTATCTGCGATCACACAAGTAGCATCCTCACCCTGTTGAACGGTTTCCGCAAAGCTCTTGATGGTCAGCGGCGGCGATTTGCGTAGCACTGCGCTGACAGTCTTGGTCGGTTTCTCGAGTACCTTTTCTGGTTTCTTAAGCTCCTCTTTTATCCCCTTTCCCTTTTCTATGACGTCATCGTCTTCTTTTTTTGTGGCGCTAATATATGTATGAACGGGTGACTCTTGCGAGGACTGGCTTTGCGAACGGCTACTGTTACCACCCTCTGGGGTACGTCGTTGCTCTTGCTGTTCCAAGGACATGCGAAATTTATTCAAGCTTAGCTTGCGTACCAGCGAGTGTGACTTCTTTTTCTTTTTCTTTAAAGTTGCGCTCGAAAGCACGTCGGTCATCAATTTCGCCTCTTTCTCGTTTTCGAGCCGTTGCGATTGCTGCTGAGATGCCTCTGAAGTGGAAAAGAATCGCGAATCAGGGAAATAGCTGCTCGAGAACTATTGTTTTTAGATATCAAAATAAATGCGTTATTTCAATTTTGTAATTAATAATTCCAATTTTGTAATTAATGTTGAAGAAAAATCAAGAAACCAGAGATTAAAAGGCTCGAAAAGTAGAAAAAAACATTTGAATCATAATAAATAACTTCGTCGCGGTTGTTATTTATCTTACAGATGAGAAGCGCAAAGTTCATCAAACACGTCATGATTAACCTTTATCATGTTGTTCTGTTTCGAAGGAGGAGGACACGTCGATTCCGCGTGTCTTCTTCTTGATTTTGAATAAGCTTCCCTCGCGGAAGCTGCTCTTGAACGCGCCGAATTTGCTCCTTTTTCGATCGTTCGCGTTGGCGTTGGAAGAAAGAATTGCGACGCTGCCACTGGTCAGAGTGTCGAGACTGGAACTGCTGTCACCCACAGTGATGTACTCGCCGGAGGTGCTGGCCACAATTGACTTCTGCTGCTGCTGCTCCTCCTCCTCCGAGGAGAACGCGACCACCGTGTCGGGCGAGCTGCCACCCTCGTTCGTGCTCTCGTTGCGATCCATAATGTTTACGAGAGGAAAGGAAAAGGTGGAAAATCCGCGTCAAAATATAAAAAAATGGAACGGTGGAATAAATGGACGGATGGACGGATGGATGAATAGAGGAAAGGGATGATGAGTCGAGGAACCAATTTTTTATTTCGCTGTACGAACCTTTTCCGTCTCACTTTGCTCGTAGAATATTATTTGGCTTCCCAGCCAAGAGCGCTGAGAAACCTTAAAATTTCACACCAGATTCGATCAGCCTCGAAGGGATAATTCATTTAACCCTCTTCTCTTTTTCTTTGCACGCACACAAGTTTTCTTTTCGCAAACGAGTGTAACGACTGAGGAGAAAACTGAGAGCCGAAAAATAACTTTGGCCGATAACGATCTCGGAGGGGTTTCTTAACTTGGTAACTGCTAATTGTCTATCGAGGAAAGGTGCAATAGCATTCAGGTCTATAGAATTGAAAGGATGGACGGGTTCGCAGGCTAGTTTGTTCTTTTTGTGCTTTTGTAAGATGGACAAGCATTTCTGGATTGATAAATAACGTAAATAAAGGAAAGGATATTAGACAATTTCAGAAAATTCGGGACCGTAGCACAATTATTTCGCACAATCATTGAATAAACAGTATTCCTCCAGAAATTTTCACAATGCACTATATATTGACACGCAGAAACCATCTCATAAAACACTAATCAAATTTCAAAAAGCATAATATTCGTAGTCAATGATAATGCGAATGAAGAAAGATGAATAATATTAAATAAAAAAATTAGCAAATTATATGACTGCAGAAACTGCAGACTCAACGGCGTCTTAAACTGCACTAGATGTTGATATAAAAATATGAGAGGCTAATGGGGGTGGGGCATGCAAGTATCTCCCACTACGTCAGTCGGCTATGTACTCATATTCTTTTCAGCATGAAGAATACACATGTATGTTTGTGCGTGTGTAAACCGTGTGTATACCTTTGCAATGATTCTATTTTTAAATATCAATATAATAATATAAGAAAAAGAGCGGAGCACCACAGGGTTGGTTACGGGGTCATTGATTGTTTTAACAAAATCTAGAATGTTTAAATTAATACTACTGGTACAATACAACTGTTACTTCGTTGCTCGTACTTTTTATCTAAGTGGCAGTGATTAAATTCCATTCTATCAAAAAGCATCGATCATTAATGATTTTCGTAGTGCAATAGTAACTTTTTAACCGTATAAAAATGTTTCAATATTGTTTTTGTAGTAGAACATAGATGTATGAAGATAAGATGCAAGTTTTTACGCATCTTTTCTCATCTTACTACGTTACAAATAATAATCTAACATTTATTTTTTATCGTTTTCTATTAAATGTATAATTGGAGTACCATGGACATAAAATATTTATGATGAAACGGAATAATACAGAAAGTATATGTAATGAAAAGGGCAGTTTATACTTCTGAGGAATTAATTTTATTTTATTGTAATAAATTTTTTATCTTATATTGTATATTAATGGTTATTTATTTGCTTTCTTCTAATTTTCTATTGTATTATTTAATAATTATTAATTGTAATTATATTTTATTGTATTAGTAACTATGCTAAGAATGTGTAAGTTAATTGAAAATACTTTTCAGTTTTCGTCACCGTTATTTCTTGCATAATTCTACTATTTTATGTGTGACTTACGGTATCTCGGGTATGGGGCACCTTTAAGTCATTTCTTAAAAAATATATCTTTATTTTTTTCTTAAAAACTAATAAATACTAAATATACTTATTAAATTTTAAAATATGTATTATACTTTAATTATTATTAAAAAAAAATGATACAACAATTTTTATATTTAGATGTATTTTTAAGAGTTTTAATTTTTGTGACTCATAGTGCCCCGCAGTTTACTCTATATTGTTTTTGGATTCATGTGAATCCTATCGATGAGTGTGTGACTTCCTCGACTCCGTGTAGACTATATTGCGCGCAATATAGACGCCTTATATTATATCAAGTCCACTAGGATTCGATTGATAAACGCAAATAACGCAAATGTAAACGAGTTATTTGAAATATTATATGTTGCATAACGAAATGGTACCCACGAGTTTGATCATCTTTTACGAGTCCATCAAAAATATTCAAATTTTCGGTCGGTCGTTCAAGAGCATTTAAAACTTCTAGTTTTACGCGCGCACACCGGTATGCCGATATATCGAATAAAATCTAATTACTCGCGGTACTTCGATCCGAAAAGTTGGAGATCGTCTGTTTCCGATTCTAATTTCGGATTTTAATGCGACGTGATGTGCGTTGCAATAATTTATAAAGCATTCGATAGAATTCGCGTGTCTCACAGCTTGTGAGTCACAGGCGCTCTCTATTTGATGCTTTGATTAAGCCAGTCTTTATGCCGTTATTCTAACAATTAATTAGCGGTGATGGATCAGCCGCTGATAAGGAAATAATGGGATAATGTGGCTCTAATGCGAAGATTAGAGCAAATCTTTTCAGTTTATATAATCTTAATTAGCTGCGCGTGATTAGGCGTGCATTGTCAATTCATTTATTTTTCTTTTGCGCCGTATGCTATGCATCTCGATATTACTTAATTACTTAATTACTACGTTAATCTTATAAAAAATGATGATTACAACAACAGATGTTCAAGCTTCATTATTTTTTATTTTTTAACAGATATTACAATATACAAGACATAAAACTATATTCAGAATCTAAATTAATTATTATTAATATAACAATAAAATTAATTTTAATTTATTATTATTATTATCTGAATTTCAGACCAGTTATATTTTACTCGTATCGAATTTGCTGCAATAATAACTTTACATTAGAGCTCATCTGCTTGTGTGTGTGTGTGTGTGTGTTAAATGCGCGCTCGTGCATTAAATAAATATTAAATTAAGGAAATCATTAACAGTTAATGTCTAACGAATGAATGTGTTTACAATATAAAGATTTTGAACAATTTCGAAAATACGATGAAGATCGTTAAGCGATTTCTCAATCGTGACGTTGATTTCTAGATCAACGTCGAGCATATTATAGTTATTCTACCGAGTCTTACTTATATTATTACATTGTTCACATATATGCACAATGAACGCGGATCAGTTTCTTTCTATAGAAAGTGCGTACAAAGAAATACATGTAGTCGTGGCAAGACTTACAAACCGACGGTATAGAATGACACGCAGGGGAGAGAAGTTGCAGGACGTGTTGACCAACAATCTCAGGTATTCATGACGCCCTTATACTCGTAACAGACTTATATAAACGTGCGATTATAAAAACACAGACCCTTATAAAAGAAAAAAAAAACCAGAAAATGAAGGGACACTTGGAGAAAGAAAATCTTGTCAATTCTCTTCCTTAAGGTTACAGTTATTTTTCTACATAATTTCCACATTGATATCTATACACTTGATATGCTTAACCTGCAGTATTTGAGTTCAATGCTCAATTTCACATGGATAACAAAACAAAAAGTTATATAACTATAAGATTTAAGTTATGAATTTAAGTTATAGACCACCCAACATTAAATGATTTTCATCTTAGAAATAACTGTAAATTCTGATAAAATCAAATAAACAAAGTTTGATCCTTTTTTCTAAAAGGTCCCTTTACTTTTTGACTTTCTTCTATATCGCAAATCTTTCGCAGTATCAAATAAAAAAATGAAACAGACATAGGTAAAAATTGAAAGATATAAATCAAGGATATTGTTCATATAAGAGAAATAAAGTTTTTTCTGTAGCACGCATGCACACGATTCGTGCAAAGAATGCTAGCAGGAAGAAGCCACTTCCCATCAACGTAACGTATTACGTCAGGGGTAAAATCGACGTTCCGGTAGTTTGTGGCGAATTATACCTCTAATCTAATTGTAACGTCCTATACACAACCAAAGACAGATCTCATTGCGATAATAGCGTTCCAGGCAAGTAAGTAAGTCGGTGAAAGTATCTCTCAATAACTATACGGTGGAGGAACTTACGGTGGAGAAAAGATGTATCTGACACAACGAGGGCAACGTTTTCGTGAGAAATCGCGTTACGATGCGGTTGTTGAGGTGTCCACAAGTCGCACAGTCGACAGTGTGAGAGGGGTTTTAAATAAACGCGATTTAACAACCGGTTCACGCGGATCTTGAAACGCAAGTAAAATTTACACGACTCGCACGTGGCACGAGGAGAAATCAGACCCACCTTTCTCACGGCTCTAGCTGCCTTCTGTTTGCAATTCTCGCTGAAATTCATGTTAAGATCGAGGTACAGATGATTATTGTTTATCAAAAGCGCGGGCGGCTCCATCGGCGGTGGATTCGCTTCCTTTTTATGCCTCAAACGCCTCTCGGTTCTTTCCTGCCTCGTGCGCAGCACAAGCACCACATTTCGGTCCAGCATATTTAAAATGCAATCCAACCAATCTCTCAACCGGAGAGTGTGTCCCACAGATTTATTTACCCTTTCGTAACACACGCACGACGTCCGATTGGATTTTTCGTGACACTGCACCACGAATCTTAGCCACTGCGTAGCCAACTATTACGACACAATAATATTTCTGAGACCATTTCGGAAAAGAAATGGCAGCAAAAGAAAAGACTACTAGACACGATGCAAAACGTCTTTCGCTATCGCGGCGACATATCTATATGTGTCGTGCCCCAATTTGTAATCGTAAAGATAATTATACGATCTCTAGTTTTCGCGCTTCTTCTATTTTTTTTTCCGCTACTTTAACGAAACGTCGGAAACTTCTCGTGATTTCGTGATGATGCAACGCGATTGAGTAGGAATTTATGAATCGTGGCCGTAAGGGAACGATCGTAACGGACAATGTGCGCCAGATGAGTGCAAAGTCCCAGCATTTATTGGTTCGGATTAGCCCGAACGTTATCGTCTGCCATGTTATCGCCAGAGCGAGCGAGGCGCCTACAAAAAAGTGCTAGGCGCCTCGCAAGCGTGATCGTTTTTCGATACACATACTCGTATACGAACTGAAGTAAAGGGGAGGAAAAGAAGAAGACGTCACGAAGAAGATGACGAAGAGAACTGCGACAGGCGATTGGACCATAGTTCACAGAGTTTATCGACCTCCAAAAATCTACGCATCTGAATTATAAATAACATGCAAGTGCATAAACAAAAATAGCCTAATAAGAGTCAGCGCAGATAAAAGTAAGCTAATGAGAGTCGGTGCAAATAAAAGTATAGGCTAACGAGAGTCGGTGCAGATTATTACGAAATAATTTAATACTCTGCAGTTGGAACGATGTCTTTCTTATTTGAACGTTTCGACTC